TCAAATCTGGATCTAGGATGAATATATTTAAAGTTCTAAACTCTATAGGTATATTTAGGCTTAAAATTTGCGTGAGTATCAGTTCTAAATGCTCTGTGTTTTTGAGTTGCGTGGCACATTACAAATGAGACAATACGGTTGTTCTCTTGATGTTGCGTTAGACATAACCTCAGATGTGGATGATACGTGAGAATATTAGACAAATGATTTATTTGTGCTTAAATGGTTAGAAGAATGAATGTTATCAATTGATGAGATCTAATCTCAACAAGGCTCCATTTATTTTAAGTCTTTACTTTATATTTTTCGTCTTTATATTTTATGCCTTTATTTATGGTACCTTTGATCTCTCAACAAATTTAATCACCACAAGCTTAAAAACATAGAGACCATTGAATGGTATTCTTTCCCTCGCACCAATCCCTATGGACACGATATAAATCCTGAAGGGAATCCTTCCAAAACTAAATTTTTGCTTCTTGCAGCTTTACTGCAGTTCGAACAAAATGACGCTATAGCCGGGGATTGGTGTTTAGATATTGAATTGCATCACAATAGTTTCTATATTTTCTAGATTTGTACAGTTGTTTATATTATATATATACTTCTTTCCTTTCACGTTTGCTCAAGTGTTGGTTAGGGATGAATGATGAGAACTTCTTCTAGATTAGTTGCTATTTGTATAAAAGTATCTAATGAAGATTGTTCCAAGTTTGGATGGTGATGATAAGATTTTGAGTGTGATAACTGCAAGCAAGGTACATTAATACCGCTTTTAGAATGTTAGAATGATTTAAGAATTTTGTGCTTTGTGCAAATGTGTATTCTTGTTTCATGTTGCAACTTGTTTGAATGCTTGTTTCACTTAGGTCCAAAAGCCACAAATAGTGAGAAACCTCAATTTTTTACTATATGCTAGGATGACTAATAACTTTGTTTAATTCGTTTGATTCATACTTAATCTTTTGATTATTGTGATTTTGTGGAAGCATTAGAAATAATCAAGGCATTTGTTTATAATAAGCCTAACCATATCAAAAAAGTAACTTACCTGTGAGTAGTGAGAATTCGTTAACCCCTTTGAGCATTAACAGATTAGATCCTAATTTGGTGATGTCCTTGGTGTGTGCCATAAATTAAATGTTAAATTCATCATTGAATTTTGTAGGATTCTAAAAAAAAATCTTGAAACCTTTAAACATTGTTTAAATTGATTTGTTTGCCATAAAAATCAAGGAGCATTCACTTAAGGTTTGGTTGAATTCAAGTTGGGGAGAACGAAAAGGAAAATGGTAGGTTACTAAAAATTTTGAAAAATTTCAAGCAAGCATTGGAAAAGTGTGAATATGAATGTGAGAAACAAAAGAAAAAGAATGTTTGTTTGAAAAAGAAAAATAGAGAATGAAATAATTGTGTAAAAGGAAGTTTTAGAAGGTTTAAAATTGAGAAAAGGAAATGGTGAAAAGAAGTTGGGATGTATAAATAACATGTATAGTGAATGTTCTTTTGCATTGACAACTTTGATTCCATAGCCTAAAGAAATGACCCTTTATTGTGAACCTGACCAAGTTACAACCTTAAAAGCCCTTAGTGATCTTTTTTCTTCCATGTTTTTATTTTTGATTGATTAGATGAATGTATGAATTGGATTGTTATTAGCATTGTTTGTCAGGTGAGTGAAATTGCTCCGCGGTTGCAAACACGTTAATTTCTTCATCCTTATTTTGAAGAGGAGTGTTAAAGTGATTTAAGTATGATAATTTAGTTGTCATTTGAAACATTGCATGATATTTGTTTAAGAACTAAATTTTTTATCATTTTTCGATTCTATTAAGTGGTGAACATTGCTTGTGCGCATTCTCATACTTGAGCAAATCCTTTTATTTGAGCAAATCTCTCTTGTTTGAATTTGAACCGTTAATCCTTTCTTGGTTGAATCTTATGCTTGAGAAAATCCTCTTGTTTTCATGAGGGGCATACTTTGCTTGAGAGCAAACAAAGATCTAGTTAGGGAGAGTTTGTTGAATCCCAAATATGATTTAAATTGAACCATCTTTCTTGGTATTTTTCAACTCAACTCTCATGTTTTAATGGATTTATTTCTTGTTCTTGTGTGCTTCTTCAATTATATTGCAAATATCTTTGGATGCTTTGATATGTGCGTTATTGTGCAGGATATAGGCATGAAACATCAATGAATAAGACACACAAGATTGGACAAGAAAGCCAAAGAAACGAATAAGAATCAAGTTCATAGTGCAAACTACAATAAGTTCAAAGTGAATGTTCATTGTGAGAGTTCACAGCGAAGTCCAAGCGATCTGAAAACATTGGATGACAGTAGGAAAATGATCCAAAGTTCGATATGCGAAGCTATAGCGAAGAAGTTCACATTGCGGAGAATGAGTTCGAACTACGAACTTAGATATTTCCAAGAGCAGTTTAACTGTTCCTGAGGCACTTGAAGTGCCTAAAAGTGGACTTCGAAGTGCGAAGGATGAGTTTGCAATGCGAACAAGACAGATTTTTTAATACTGTTTAAGTACTTTTTCTTACTTTTTAGAATATAACATATATTTTCAGTATGAGAACTTTTTTTCTCTTCATTCCAAACATATTATAGATAGAAACACAAACCCTAAGAGGGAAAAGCATAAATCGAAGTAACTCGGAGCTTGATCTTCGAGTAAGTGCTTCGATCTCTTGTTGGGTTTGAATGTAATCTATTGATACCTTATGTATTTCATCTAATCTATGTATTGTAAACTAGTATTGATTCAATATTGATGTTGTCTTTGATTTCTTATTTGTGGATATTGACAAAATCTTTTCAAATTTTGGATCTAAGATATTCATCTATCAATTAGCAAACTTTTGACATAGTCTTGCAAGTTGATATTCAATAGTACCACTTTTATTTTATTGTGTTGATTATTAGTATGATTAACATGAGTAGCGATCAATACAGTAAAGACCACAATAACATTTTTGACATAAAAAGTATTGTGAGGATGCGTGATAATAGAGATGAAGAAATATGTTCACTTACATTTGTCAAATTAGTTGAATGCATGTAAAAGGGTTAATCGTATGTACGTATTTTGATCATGTCGTTTTATTTGAATCAATCATTTATCTGATATGGATGTTATCCTTGTTTACTTGTTTATACATTGATTTGAACCGTTATATAAATATACTCTTCAGATCTGGATCTAGGATGAATATCTGTTAGGTTCTAAACTCTAGACATAGATTTAGGCTTAACTTTGCGTGAGTATCAGTTCTTAATACTTTGTGTTGTTGAGTTGCATGAGACATTACGGTTGTTCTCTCGATGTTGCATTAGACATAACCTCTATTGTGGGTGATACGTGAGGATATTAGACGAATGGTTGATTTGTGTTTAACTAGTCAGAATAATTCATGTGTTATCAATTGATGAGATCCAATCCCAACAAGACTCCATTTATGTTAAGTCTTTATTTTATATTTTCCGTCTTTATATTTTCTGCCTTTATTTATGGTACCTTTAATCTCTCAACAAATTTAATCACCACAAGCTTAGAAACATAGAGACCGTTAAGCGATATTCTTTCTTGTGCACCAATTCATGTGAAGACGATATAAATCTCAAAAAGAATCCTTTCAAAATTAAATTTTTGCTTCTTGCCGCTTTACTGCAGTTCGAACACCTCACACATGTGATTTAAATGAATTCCTAGATTGCATTTCAGTTAAATAACTTTCTCAAGTAAGGTTATTTTAAGGATAACCAATCCCTTATCAACTAAATGAGAAAGACTTCTAAAATTAAAATGCACAAACCAAGGGTGCCACAACCAGCTTCCTAAGTTGGCATTGTTGTAAAGAGACATTTTATAGGAACTACTTTCATAGATGTTTGAAAAATTATGTGCTTTGCAAATGGTGACTTCAATATCATATTTGGTTCTTATTAAACAATTCCACAACACTTAACACGCTGCATAGCAGACCAGAAACATTCAATGACTTCCATCTTGCCATCTTCCTTCAAGGTAACTTTCTCATTCCTTTTGATGCTAGAGTTTTATGATCTGTCATCTTCAGTTTTGTTCACCTCATTGTATCAATCTCTTTCATCCATTCTTTATGTCATGTCATATGATTGGATCAACCAATATCAAAGAGCCATCCTTTTGAATTACAACTCTAATTACTAGTTGTTCTAAATATACCAAGTATGTTATGATTTATTAGTTATAATGGAAAAATGAAAATAGTTAATTTTAATTTTTCCACTAAATATTTTTAGACAAAATAATAATCATATTTATTATATAATACCTTGTAATGAATAAATTTTGTTGAACAAAAATAATAATGACATTTACTAAAATAGGATGTATCTAGTTTTAAAAATAAAATCTATTATTTTTATTTTTTGATATTTAAATCTATTAATTTAGAAGCAACCAAAACGTAAAATTTATTCACTGATTTGGTAAACAGTTCTTAGAACGGTAAACGGTTATTTTGGGATGAAGAATGAAGGGAAGTTCATGAATCTGGTCATGCAGATCTGAAGTAAAAAATTTAATTTAATTAATTAAATAAACAGAAAAAGCTCTCATCATCTACATTCCATGTTTCGTTTCATTTTCATGCTCTTTTTTGCATACAAGTACAAATTGTTTTGGTTTGTTTATAACAAATTCATCTCCACTTCTCCAATTTGCAGTGAAAAGGTACATTTCCTTATAACAAATTTATTTAGTTTTCAAAAATTGTTATAATTTGAATGTTCCATTGTTATCTATATTATCATCCTGTTATTTCACATCTGGTTTTTGTTATGTATAGATCCAAATTGATTGTGATTTACTATGATTATATATTTTAGAGTTATAACAACGATTTGTCATATTCAGCGATTTGAGAATAAACACTAAATATTTTGTTATGACTATTAAAAGGTGGTTGTACAAAGAGAAAAGAGATAACAAGTGTGAGTTAGGATGGAAGAGATTCCGGAGAGAGGCGAACTGCGGAGAATTCAGAGAGAGCAAGAGAGGGAGAGAAGGCGGATACGAGATCGACAGAGGAGGCAAGCGATGACGCAAGAACAAAGGGAAAGACACCTTGCGCGACGGAGAAGAAACTATCAACTTCGCAGACAACGAGCGGCGAATACAAATGGGAATGCTAGTAATGTTAATGCTCCTTTCATTTCTCTTCCTCTTAACCCTCTTACTCTAGAATCAAGTGCTGGTGAAGCAAGTACTAGTGATGAATTTCAAGGTGCTAATTCTTCTACTTCACTGGACTATAGAGTGCTTAGTCGTGGTATTGGTATTCCTCGTTATGGACAAGAAACATTGAATTTGGAAACAAAAGTTTCTCATGGTGAGATATTTCTATATTGTTTTTTTTAAATCATTATGCTAAATTTTACATGTTGATTTATTTTTTGTTTTAATGTTGTAATGCAAATATTAGGTTCATCTGTTAACGTGGAAACTCTAGTTTATAGGCTAGATAGTTCTCCAAGGTTGCGTCTGAAACAAATTAGACATCTTGCAAGAAATCTTACAGGTTTAGTGGTTGATTCTGCTGGTACTGACCAGGTTGCAGTTGATTTGAAAACAAATAAAGAAGTATCCATCGGTGATTCGAGTGAGTAATCTCTTTATACTAAACTATAAACAAAAGTACTTCTTTGTATTAAATTTGAAAGAGAAGTGATAACATGTTTTATTTAGACTTTTTTTATAATAATAACATTAAAAATAAAATCATGTCTCCATATTGTTTTTAGTTTTGTTCATGATATATTTTGTTTATGTGCCAACCAAAATTTTTGTTCCACAGTGATATTCAAATGATTATTTTATCAAAGAAGATAGTCTAGGTAGAATATTATGATATTTGTTTAAGTTGGAAAAGAAAAAAAACAAATGTGAATTGGAAGTGTTGAGAAATAAGCACGGGAAAGTTTTACATTGATTAGAAATGGAAAGATTGTGAATTTTATAAATGAGAGAATCCACATAACTATCACCTAAAAATTTTGAGTGAATATATGGTGTGTCTTTCACAAGATGTGTTGCTCATTAAAGAAATACCCCAATGTAAAAATGATTCCTCATGTTCAGTCCTAGAGAATTGATGATCTATCAGTGGCACCAGAGTCTAATTTGAGTGAGGGACCAACTTCTATGTATCGAAAGTCCTCCCCACCTAGTAGTGGGTAAGGAGTATATCCACTTGAAAAAAAGTGGCAACTGAGGTACAAGTGTATGTGAATGAAAGAGCTCCCGCTTTAGGGGGAGTATTATGGATAGACTCACACTTGAATGAGAGTGTTGTGAAAAATGAGTGTGAGTTGGAAGTGTTGAGAAACAAGTGTGGGTGTGGGGAAGTCTCATATTGATTAGGTAGAGATTGAGCATTTTATAAGTGAGAGAATCCACACACCTATCACCTTAAGATTTTAGGTGAATATGTGGTGTATCTTTCACATGATGGTGGGTAGGAGGCATGTCCACTTGAAAAAAGAGTGCCAACGGTGGTACAAATGTATCTGAATGAAAGAGTTTTTGTTTGAGGGGGAGTATTGTGGATATGCACAATTGAAGGGGAGTGTTGATAAAAACAAGTGTGAGTTGGAAGTATTGAGAAACAAGTGGGAGGTGTGGAGAAGTCTCACGTTGATTAGAAATGTGGAGGTTGAACACTTTTTAAGTGAGAGGACTCATACACCTTCACCTTAAAGTTTTGGTGAATATGCAGTGTGTGTCTTACATGGGGTTGGGTAAAAGGCATGTCAACTTGAAAAAATGTCAACGGCGATACAGTGTATGCGAATGAAAGAGTTTTCATTTGAGGGAAAGAATTATGGATAGTTACACACTTGAGGGGGATGTTGAGAAAAACAAGTGTGAGTTGTAAGTATTGAGAAACAAGTGTGGTGTGGGAAAGTTACCCATTGATTAGAAATATGAAAATTGAGAACTTTATAAGTGAGAAAATCCACACACCTATCACCTTAAGGTTTTAAGTAAATATGTGGTGTGTGTCTCACATGGTGGTGGATTGGAGGCATGTCCACTTGAAAAAAGTGTCAACAGTGGTACAAGTGTATGTGAATAAAAAGCTCCCGCTTGAGGGGGAGCATTATGGACAAACTCACACTTGAGAGGGAGTGTTGAGAAAAACATGTGTGGTACAAGTGTATGTGAATAAAAAGCTCCCGCTTGAGGGGGAGCATTATGGACAAACTCACACTTGAGAGGGAGTGTTGAGAAAAACATGTGTGAGATAGAAGTGTTGAGAAACAAGTGTGGGGTGTAGAGAAGTCACACATTGATTAGAAATATGGATATTGAACACTTTATAAGTGAGAGAATCCAAACACAAGATTTTGGATGAATATGTGATGTGTCTATCACATGGTGGTGGGTATGAGGTATGTACGCTTGGAGAAAAAAATTATCAATGGCAGTAAAAGTGTATGTGAATGAAAGAGCTTGAAAAAAGTGTCAACAGTGGTACAAATGTATGTGAATGAAAGATCTCCCGCTTGAATAGAATAATTGTGGATACACTTGTGGGGAAGTGTTGTGAAAAGTTGCTCATAAAGAAAGACCCAATGTAAAAATACTCTCTCGTGTTGACCCTCAAAAATTGATAACCTAACATTTTATATGGAAAATGGACATTTCTGTTCCATTTAGGTCTGCCAAAAAATAGAGCTGAACAGATTTAATAGAATGGGCACGACAAAAGTTTTAGTTCACCTTGCTAAAAAACGAACAAGGAGTAGACCCACTAGACTATGCCATGCTGAAAAATAAATGAGTACTAGAACTTGTAAATCCTACCTTCTTAAAACTTAAAAGTGTCATAAAGTTATATTTGCATCTACTAAAGCCACCAAAAAATGGATAGGATTGAACCGACAAAGTCAAACATTCAGTAAAATTAGATATATCTGATTGGTCTTTACATCCCTGCCTATTTTGATACCCATAATTTAGAAAGTATATATACTTAGGGTCGATATAAGTATATATACTTTCTAAACTATGGGTATCAAAATAGGCAGGGGTGTAAAGACGAATCAGATATATATAATTTTGGTTCAATCCTATCTATTTTTTGGTGGCTTTAATAGATGCAAATATAACTTTACCACACTTTTAAGTTTTAAGAAGGTAGGATTTACAAGTTCTAGTACTCATTTATTTTTCAGCAGGCATAGTCTAGTGGGTCTATGTTCATTTTTTTAGCAAGGTGAACTAAAATTTTTGTCGGGCCCATTCTACTAAATTTGCTCAGTTCTATTTTTTGGCAGACCTAAATGGAACAGAAATGTCCATTTTCCATATAAAAAATGTTAGGTTATCAATTTTTGAGTGTCAACACGAGAGAGTATTTTTACATTGGGTCTTTCTTTATGAGCAACTTTTCCTCGTATCCACAATGATTCTATTCAAGCGAGAGATCTTTCATTCACATACACTTATACCCGTTGTTGACACTTTTTCAAGCTCTTTCATTCACATACACTTTACTGCCATTGATACTTTTTTCAAGTGTACATACCTCCTACCCACCACCATGTGATAGACACGTCACATATTCATCTAAAACCTTAAGATGACAGTTGTTTGGATTCTCTCACTTATAAAGTGTTCAATATCCATATTTCTAATCAATGTCTCCATAAGTGTGGGGTGCGGAGAAGTCACACATTGATTAGAAATATGGATATTGAACACTTTATAAGTGACAGAATCCAAACACCTGTCAAAACACCTGTCATTTTAAGGTTTTGGATGAATATGTGACGTGTCTATGTGGTGGGTAAGAGGTATGTATGCTTTAAAAAAGTATCAATGACAGTAAAAGTGTATGTGAATGAAAGAGCCTGAAAAAAGTGTCAACAGTGGTACAAGTGTATGTGAATGAAAGATCTCCGCTTGAATAGAATCATTGTGGATACACGTGAGGGGAAGTGTTGTGAAAAGTTGCTCATAAAGAAAGACTCCAATGTAAAAATACTCTCTCGTGTTGACCCCTCAAAAATTCATAACCTAACATTTTATATGAAAAATGAACATTTTCCATTTAGGTCTGCCAAAAAAATAGAGCTGAACAAATTTAGTTGAATGGGCACGACAAAAACGAACAAGGAGTAGACCCACTATACTATGCCCTCCTGAAAAATAAATGAGTACTATAACTTGTAAATGAGTACTATAACTTGTAAATCCTAAAGTGTCATAAAGTTATATTTGCATCTACTAAAGCCACCAAAAAAATGGGTAGGATTGAACCGACAAGTCAAACATTCAAGAAAATTAGATATATCTGATTCGTCTTTACACCCCTACCTATTTTGATACCCATAATTTAGAAAGTATATATACTTATATCGAGCCTACACCTATATATATATATATATATATATATATATATATATATATATATATATATATATATATATATATATATATATATATATATATATATATATATATATATATATATATATATATATAGGTGTAGGCTCGATATAAGTATATATACTTTCTAAATTATGGGTATCAAAATAGATAGGGGTGTAAAGACGAATCAGATATATCTAATTTTCTTGAATGTTTGACTTGTCGGTTCAATCCTACCCATTTTTTTTGGTGGCTTTAGTAGATGCAAATATAACTTTATGACACTTTAAAGTTTTAAGAATGTAGGATTTACAAGTTATAGTACTCATTTATTTTTCAGGAGGGCATAGTCTAGTGGGTCTACTCCTTGTTCGTTTTTTTAGCAAGGTGAACTAAAATTTTTGTCGTGCTCATTCAAATAAATTTGTTCAGCTCTATTTTTTTGGCAGATCTAAATGAACAGAAATTTCCATTTTCCATATAAAATATTAGGTTATCAATTTTGGAGGGATCAACACGAGAGAGTATTTTTTACATTGGGTCTTTCTTTATGAGCAACCTTTCACAACACTTACCCCTTAAGCGTATCCACAATGATTATATTCAAGCGGGAGATCTTTCATTCACATACACTTGTACTGTTGTTGACACTTTTTTAAGCTCTTTCATTCAGATACACTTTTACTGCCATTGATACTTTTTTCAAGCGTATATACCTCCTACCCACCACCATGTGATAGACAAGTCACATATTCATCTAAAACCTTAAGATGACAGGTGTTTGGATTCTCCCACTTATAAACTTATGTAATTATTTTATATCAAGTTATTTTAAAAAAAAAAAAACTTATTTATAAGTATTAATATCTAATAAAACATCATAATACTCATCTTTAGGGTCAGGTCTAACCACTCATATTTGTATTTTTTTTTTATAATATAGTTTTTGTCTTTTAAAGAAATATTAAAATATCAAAGAATTTTGGTTATTAATATAATTAGTTTGAATGCTCTTATATTTTTCAGGTAGCATGCCAAAATCTTTGCGTTTGAATTCAGTGAAGTGTCTTGCTCGATCAGTTAATACTCTACCCAATGAGACTGAAATTCAGAAGGACAAAAATTTGTCTCTAGAAGGAGTTCAATTACTTGATAATGAAAGTTTTATGGCAAATGATTAATGTGAAAGTGAGGGCTCATTCAAAGCTATCTTTCAAAAGAGTTGCATAAAT